TCATGCGAAGAGTTGACTCATTGGAAAAGACCCTGATGCTGGGAGGAATTGGGGTCAGGAGGAGAAGGGGACGACAGAGGATGAGATGGCTGAATGGCATCACCGACTTGATGGACGTGAGTTTGGGTAAACCCCGGGAGTTGGTGATGGACAGGGAGGCCTGGCATGGGGTTGCAAAGAGTCGGACAGGACTGAGCGACTGAACTGAACTGAACTGAGGAATATTTCAGGAAACTATTATAGTTGTGGTTGAGCATCTACTACTGAAACCTCTTGTGGCCTGATAGATTTCAAAATCAGAAAAGATTTGCCCATTTGCTAGGATCAGTCTGTCTCTCACATATTTCCGAGAGAGTGCCCTGGGAAGGTAAATTATTAAATCACATGGGCCGTTAGCATAATGGGTTTCAACTCTCAGGAACCCTTGTCATTGAACGACTAAATGTTTTATTAAAGATGAAATACGCTTTTATTGAAAAGGTGAGGACAAGGATGCATTAAGTGCAAAATTCTTGGAAGCAATGAATGTCATTAGAGTTGGGAGGGGTAGAAATTGGTTAGGTGAAGTGGCAAGAGGGAGAACTTTTCTGTTGAAACAATCTTGCAAATGACGCTGCAAAATCAAGAGTGAGCACAATTTATTTGTAAAGTTATAAGTAAACCTGAATGCTTAGTAGAGGAAAGACAAAAGTAACATGACTGGCAGCAAAGAGCAAACAAAAGGAGTTGACATTTTCTTCTTCTTAGTTGAGAAAAACTAAAACGGGTAACCAATGTGAGTAAGCATATTGGGAGACCAGTACTCTCAAATTTTTATATTTAATATAACATTTTATATGCCACAAGTTTTAAAATGGACATGACTTCTTAACAATTTAGCAGTCCCATTTAGAGTTTATCCCAAAGAATCATCTGTGAGCAAAGCTTCATAGTTTTGGGGGGAAAATTTAAGCCTTTAGTACTTAGCAGAAGTCTTAAGGATTCTATGATAGGTAATTTAAAGGGTGGAATTCTGTGCAGCAGCTTAAAAAATATCAATGTGGGAAACTATGATATGCTTTAAGTGGACAAAACAGACTCCAAACCACTTCATAACGTTTTGTCATTCCTTCTATTAAAACAAAAGTAGTACTTGATACACATAAAGAGATTAGCTGGAAATATTCCATAATTAAGTAATAGTTGATAGGATTATGGATATTTCATTTTCCTTGTGCTTTTCAGCTTTCTAAATTGACCCTATGTTACCAGGCAAAGAAAAAAATGTACATGCAACCTGCATTTCAAATGTGACTTTGTTCATAGAGTGGCTGCCACAGAGCCTGTGTCACACAGAGTAAAGGTGTGAGAGGGTGGCGAGGAAATGAAAATTCTCCTTGTAAAAGTCAAATGTATCAGCTGGAATCACAATACTTTATAAAGATTTAAGCAATTTTATATCTGAAATGTGCTAAAGATATTCTGGGATGCACAAACCATGGAGCTTCTTCCTTTTAGACCAACACGATTTTTTGAATTCTTGGAAGAGCATATAAAACCCAAAGTGTGGGTGTGATGTATAAAAGAAATACTTTAGTGTCTTGGGTTATAAAATCCAGATATTCCATCCATGATAATACAATTACAGGAGTTATAATTAAGACAATGAAAGGAAACACAATGAGAGAGAACTGAAATTTCTTTTAATTCTTGTATTTGTGAAAGAGTGATGTAACAGAAATAATCTGTGGTTTATTGTTGGCAATTATTTGTGAAAAGAGAATCCATTTAATTATATTTCAATAAAACTGAGAAAAAGTTTCCTGTGTAGTTTTAGGTCTGTAAGTAAGTTGTGTGTGTTTCCTCATCAGATTTTTAAAAGGTAGGAAAGAGATAAGGCTATTTTTTGGTTTCCTAGTTTCAGTTGGTATATCAGATTTAAAAGTTGGGCTTCATCAGCAGATGAATGGATAAGGAAGCTGTGGTACATATACACCATGGAATATTACTCAGCCAAAAAAAAAAAAAAAGAAAAAGAAAAAGGTTGGGCTTTACTGAAATGTTCTTATGATCTCTAAAATTTCTACACCTGGGATTCATGAAATTATTCTAAATTAAAGACTTTCACATGGATTTCTTCAGCTTATTTTGATTTGACAAAAAGGAGGTTCCATTTGCAAGGTTTTGAACCTTGTTCTCTACTTTTCTGTACAAGTTCCATGGGGCAGAGATTGTTTTCTTGCTGTATCTCCAATACTGAGACAGTTCTAGACCTCTATTAGGTGTATAACAAATCCCCATTAGATACTGAATAAAATAAATGGGTGTTGCTGTCAGATGCACTTAACACGTCTCTGCTATTTCTCCCCCGCGTGGATTTACCAAATCTTGGGAAAGTTATGAGAGATTTTAATAGTGTTAGGTCCTGGGAACAAAGCAGGATCTGCCTCTGAAAAGAATGACCTACAAGTGTCTGCACAGAAAGCTTTCCTAAATCAGGCAGACAAGCTGAGCTGTGAAGGGGATCTGTTCACTGTTTAACCCTTAGCCTTGAGATCATTTTAGTGACAGAGTTCCAAGGTGGGGGAGGGGTATTGACTGTGAACTTTCTAAGGTCCTGAGAGGAATAAAACTTAAGAGTCAAGGCTTTGAGTGAAGTCGGGGCCTAAACACTAGTGGTTCCTCCAGCTCCCCCTAAAGATTTTGTTAAAGTGCCAATGAGAAACTGAGGAGAGAACGGAGAGTATAGGCTTTGAGCTCTGTAGCAGCTCTCCTGCAAACTTTAGGAATGATGGTAGGGTAGAGAGAGGTGTCTGGGGATGTCATTAAATGAAATGTTGCAGTGACTTCCCTGGAGGTCCCATGGTTAAGACTCTGTGCTTCCACTTCAGGGGGCATGGGTTCGATCCCTGGCCAGGGAACTAACTAGGCTCTTGTATGCCACAAAGTGCAACCAAAGAATAAAAATAAATTAACTGGGGGACTTTGTTAAATGAAACAATGTTAGATGATCCTTTGTCTCCTCAATGGGTATATTTACATTCTGCTTTTCAGAAGTGGGCCCAGCAGCATGAAGGGACCTGTGCACGCTCTCAGAAGGGGCTTGCCCCTCTCTACAGGTTAGGTATTTGTGAAAACCTTTAAGAGAATGGCTTAACAGAGGATAGTTAAGCCGCCTTTCTGATGTTGGTCCTGGGAGCCCCGCCACCTCCGCTTGCACCTGGCAGGCACCTGCCAGACCTCAGGAGAATTACTTCGGAGCCACACCCAACACAGGGATCCGGAACCCAGCCAGGCGCAGAGAGGAGGGCGTTTCTCAGAATGACCACCATCTCAGTTTGTTTCCTCTTGGCTTTAAGAAGCTTCACCCCGTAAATATGTTACAAACCGTATTCCAGAAGTAGGTTTGCAAAGATAGTATCTTTTATTCCTCTCTCTTTATAATGGTGGAGACAGTACAATTAAACATGGTAGACTTAAACTGACTTACATCTCACGCTTAACCATACAAAAAAGCAAATGAAACAAAATTAGAATGCTGTCACTAGGAGTAGCTTCCAGACCAATTGTTGCAGTTCCTGCTTTTCAGATAAAAAATGTGAGGCCAGAGCAACAGAGTTGCTCAACACTACAGGTAAAGTTAGGCAATATAGTATTTTATCCACAGTTAATACATACAGTATTTCCATAGATAACTGGTTTAAAAAAAATCATGGATCTCTTGCAATTACATTTTTTTCCCTCAAGAAAGTGGAAACTGATACACTATATATATTACTTTAGTCCGTCTACAGGGAATATAGTATAAATCTACAAAATAATAATAACTTTAAGAATAATAACTGTATAAAAAATAGCTATTTAAGAAAGGTGTATGTGTTTAAAGAAACATATAAAGAGAGATTACAAGAAAATTAAAGTATTAATAATGGCTATCATTGAGTAATATAAGTACATGTGACTGATATGTGTTACATATTATCTTCCTGCATTTTCTAAATTCTCCGTGATGACTCCCTTCTATATTATAAACATTTGA